GGTGATGGCTCTGGTGAAGGCCCTTGAGCCACGCTAGATCTTGACCTGGGGGCAGGCACAGATGGAGGTTCTTGCTGATAGGCCCAGGCAGCTGTGAAATCGGAAATAAATATAGGACAATAATTACAACTAAGTTCATTAAAATATAAAGTTCAAGTGAAATGTTTCTCAAGCACAAATAACAATGCACAACTCAAAATAAAATGGGGAGGTGGGACAGGAGTCTCTCTCTCTCTCTCTTACAACCTATTTAACTATGTTACACCATCACAATGAAAGTACACTATTACTGTAATATTTACATTTACCTATCTTCAAATGGATCCGTGTTGTTGGTTGCTGTATTCTCCAGGTTCTGATGCTCCATCTCCACTGCTGCTAGTGTTACAAGTCCGCTGTGCAGAGCTGGTAATCAGATAATAAGCCTGTTGAATAGGAGAAAAGAATGAAGCAGAGGGAAAGTTGCTGCCGTTTGTGTGGTTGTCTTAGCCAGAATTTATTAAACACATTAATAAATTCACTTACAAATTATATCCGTTTTCTCTATTTATCTAATCATTCTCTGGTTTGACGCCACATGTATCTCTGCGTTGTGTTGTGTGGTCGAATGAATATGACTTCCTTCTTGGCAACCAGGTTTATTATCTGTGCAAACAGAATATAAAGAAATGGCTTCACCAGCTTTCTACCTCAATACTTCTCCTCAGTGAGGCCTGAAGCTAACTGAGAATGTAAAAATACATTTAGCCAATCAAAAATAACTGTATGTCTGACATATTTCGTTTTCTAATCAAAAATTGACATAAATCCACATGCCATATTATGACTTTCATGAAGGATTAAAGCCTTTTTCATTTACAGTATAATACAGTGATAACAGATAACACACACAACCCGACTGTACTCAGTTTAACATGGCTGTTGTACAGGCACAATATTAGCATAGCATTAGCGCTTTAGCATTTAAATAATATGAACAATTATGACCTCAGACCAGCATTTCACATATTTATACAAACAGAATAAACTTGAAATGTAAGCCAGACTAGTGCACGGGACTCATTACCAGGGCTCGACAGTAACGGTTGCCAGGTTGCCATTGGCAACCATTCAGAAAAAATGTCAACCACTTCTTGGCCTTTGGCAACCAGTTTTTAACATAAAGAAACAAGGACAGCAAACAGCTAAATGTGCACCCCAAAATAGATAAATGTTAATTATTTGTTGTATTAAGAGTGATATTTAATTGTTGTTGTGACCAGTCGGAACCTGATACTTAAGTTGCACGTGCATTGGTCTGATTACGGAACCACAAAGTGATGCACGTTTACTTGCGTGCCTGTGCGCCGTGTGTTTGTTTTACAAAAAATGGCGAAGCAAATTAAGTTGTTTGACTGTGGGGTAAAATGTTTGGCCAACCCGTCAACATCTCAAACGAATGTTCAAAGTGATTCAACTGATAAAGCGCAAGGTGAATCCGAACGAAAAGCAAAGAGGAATGTTGTCCATTCACTTCCGGTAAAAGTTCCTTCAAAATAAGAGTCCCGATCTTATTACTACCAAAATAAAAGTGCAAAACAAAACTTTACCATAGGAAAATATTGGCATACAAATATAATCACTTCTATAAAAAGGTAACACATTTTAAATATAGTTCACTCAGGAGAGACGTGATGTATGGAATACATGTTTATTATCGGGTCACATTATATAAATGAACATAATGATGACAGTTTGTAGCAAGTGAATGAAATAGTGTTTTGGCGATTAGGCCCAGGTTTGGTAGGATGTCATTCGGGAAGGAAAGAACCGTTTCCGATGAACCCCCCTGGGTCTAGACACTGGTGGTGGTGATAAGTGGTTAGGTCCGGTTGGAAGGGAGAAGGTTAAGCTTGGTCCTGAGTTGGAAGCAGGAGGCGAAGGGGTGGAGGAGGGTTGCGCGTTGACACCTGGAAGACAGCTGATAGAAAAGGGGAGAGCATATATAGAGGGATTACCAGGTGCGATGATTAGGCTTGTGAATAGAGGGACATGATAGGTTTGCTGAGGAGTGGCGCTCCCTATCCTTAAGTGAAGGGAGCGAGTATTGCCATGACGTGCAATACGAAGTGATAGGTCTTCCTGTCTGAACTTGCGCTGAGCTTCATTTCACTCAGGAGAGACGTGATGTATGGAATACATGTTTATTATCGGGTCACATTATATAAATGAACATAATGATGACAGTTTGTAGCAAGTGAATGAAATAGTGTTTTG